GCTCTCACAGGATACCAGCGTAAAGTAGAAGCTCAATGCTGTTGTGTTTCGTATGGTGAGTGTAAAGAACCAGAAACCTGTTTTACTGGAAACGAGGCATTCCATCTTAGTACTCAGGGGTCTTAGTACGCATCTGCATTTTGATTCTTAGTCAAGGATACATGTAAATATCTGTGGGCCACAGCAGTCACTTAATATGTGGATTGTGTGCTCTTTTATCATTTTATTATATATATATATATATATATATATATATATATATATATATATATATATATATATATATATATAAAACTATCGCTTGGATGCATAAATGGCCAAAATCATTTATTTGTTTTATTCCTGTCTAGAAATTCTCAATAGCAGCCACGAGTAAGATGATTGGCTATGTTTCATCACCGCGCGTTGGTAAACACGTAAAGTTACCTCCGCCTAATTTCTCTCCGGTTGTGTTGTATTGCCATCCCATCTGACGAAGGAGAGCGAGGGAATAGAAAGTTAACTGAAAGTGTTTGTAACTGAAGATGGCTCGCCTTTGTTGAGACTGACCGCCGTAATTGATATTCAGTTTAGAGTATATTAATGTAATGTACATTGACAAAATAAAATGTTCTCGAGACCGAATTTCGATTTTTTATTACGTGTAACATTAATGTACATTATATTAATGCCCTCCAGACCGATATTGGATGCGGAATTTGAACCTGCGACGATATGATTAGCAGTCGCGCTTATGTCGTTAGACTACCGAAATTTTAATTAAATTAGATTAAAAAAAATATAGTTACTGATATAGTGATGGATCAGTACACTGGACTGAACCGACAATTGACGGTTAAAAAGTTCTAGTGTGCATGTAAATCCTTACTGGTTGAAATATAAAGATAATGGTTGAAATATAAAGTTTTAATAAATTAATTGATTTTAAAAGGCAACATTATGCTTTTAATTTATAATTATTACTTTTAATTTATTATTATTATAATACTTAATGTCTGAAATGTATTTGTTTTAACTTTATGTTTATTATTGTATTTTTAATTGTTTAAAATATTACTTCCAAGGTCATTCCAGACGGCTTTATATAAAAATTAATTATTAATAATAATAATGCACCGTCACACTGTGTAAGATGGTTTATAATAATTGTAAAAGTTAGGTAAATAAATGAAATAATAACTTTCGTACTCCATCTATTGGGGGTCACCCAATACTGCCAGTATGAGGCTGCCACTCGAGAATCTTTCTTACTTGTAAAATGGAATGTGGATACTTAAGGCTGAGCAAAACAGTACCACACCGACAAAATATTATTTACTTTCGTACGCGGAACCAGTAATGGTATGGCTTAAGGTGTAAAACGGCTCGATATTACATACATTTAGAGTAGTAAAATGCTAGAAGAACAGTAATGTTTTGCGTAAGAAAAGACAAATGTAGACGTCTATGCTTACACAAAACAAGTAAAAAATTAATTATTTTTATATCATATCATGACGATATCACAATTTTTTAACAATATTTATTTATTTCTTAAGATTGTTATTATGACGATATGATTTACTTACTGGTAAAAGTAATCACAAAGTGAAAAATGATTCTTTAACGGAAATATACTAACGATGATGTTGATGAGGTTATGTGCTAACTATAGAAACACTTTTAATCATTCATATCGCTTATATATTCATTACAAATATTTTAAGCGTTTTTTAAAGCTACTCATTTATTCGTTGTATCCAGTTTTTCCATAATTTAAATTTATAATTAAGTTGAATATCTAGAAACTCCACTTTTAATAGGTTATTAGTTCAAGCCGGTAAAGCGAGGCCTTTGCCCTATGTGGGATGTGTATTATAAAAAAAAAACAATTTTTTGTTGTCAGTTACTACGATAGTAAATTTGAGTATATTTTTATGTTTGTTTTTTATTTTAAATGCGTTTTAATTTTAAATATTACTTATTCTTCTTCATCAACTAGTATAGCTCTTGTATCTACTGAATAAATGTGTTTGCCATTTTCTGGAGGATTATTAGCTTTGATTAAATTAATATCACAGTGCTGAAAGTTTTTCATTTTTGCAACTGCTCCCCATAACTGGCTTATGTATTTTACGACTGGTGTAGCAAGCGAAAGTGGTAACTGCCAGAAAGGCGCAAGGACTTTCTGGGACGACAGTTACCACTGTCGCTCCCTCAAGTTTCTATTGGATAAAATGGGGTGTAGGAAACTCTCACTATGCCACATGACGATTTATTCAAACCAAATCCAATAAATAACAAATATAGAAACCAAAACAATTTTATAATGGATCACTTTTAACAAAAAATACGGGTTAGTAAGAGTTGTTGTAAATTTATATGCATGTTATAACGCAGTAGAGTCACGCATGATCTATAATATTATGGTTGGTTATAACATTATTGGTTATTGGTATGTAATATAATATTATGGTATAGTAGACCACGCTGTCACATATTTTTTTTTAATGTAATAAGGAAGACAAATGAGAAATGAGAGACAAATGAGTACACAGTCCACTTGATGGTAAGTGTATGCTGATGAAACACTTTGAAAATCCACTTAGTTCATTTCAATCGGTCAAGTCGTTCAAAAGTTATAAGAGGTTTACACACACACACACACACACATTAATTAAGTATAAACGTAAATGTCTACAAATGAAGACATCTACATTTGTACTTAATTAAGAATCAAAATGTAAAAGCGTTGTTACCCCTGAGGACTAAGATGGAATGCTTCGTTTCCAGTAGAAAGGATCTCCGGTTCACACAGAATAACATCTATAAATATCAGATTAATTTTGATGTGTAATGTTTGATGGTAATTTGGAATTTTAAATCTATTCTAGTCCTCAAGAGTCAGCATCCACTTAGCATCAGGGGAGTTATGTGCTCGTTAATGCCCTTATTTTATAAAAAATGTACCCGGTATATGTAGAACTAAGAAAGACAAACGAGTCATCCTTATGTAAACTGCTATTGTGGCTATAGACACCTACATTTGTGTATACTCGATACCGTCAAATGCAGCAGCATGATAAAGCTGTGGGTATTTTACGAGTATACTATTTTCTAAACAAACCGGGTCCTTCTGAGTCGAGAGGACCTATTCGTGCTGCAACTATAATAGGTTGTTGTTAGTTCTTCCACGTATATGACAGCGTGAGTGTCGTTCATTGTAATAATCATCATTATTACAGCCCATAATAAGACTTCTGCTGAAAATCGTCGTCGACGGGCTATTCATTGAAGATTATATATCCTACTCAGATTCCAAATTTCAAAAATATTTGTAAAGAATCTTTCGTCGCATTTGAACTTTTCAAACTGAAAATGATTTTAGTTTACATAAAATCACCCCAATTAGTTCGAAATACATCTTCATCATCATCATCACTATAGCCCATCAAAACTACTCATCGACTTCTCGCATCTCTTACCAGGTCGTCACTTCATCTATTGGTGGGTCGCCCTACACTTTGTTTACCTATACAAGGCTGCCATTCGAGTACCTTATTTTTCCCATCGGTTATCGGTTTGCCAATTCAGCTGATTGATCCGTTTCTTTATATCGGTTCCTCTATTTTCACTGCGGATATCCTCATTACGAATAGTTTATCGTGAGTGACTTTCAATATTTACGACAATTTTGTGAGTGTCGTAGAGTCGTCGTAATTTAAATTTAAAAATGGAATTTTAAAATAAATACCTTTATTTGTTCGTTGTTTTTTTGATCATCATCAACATCATCATTACAGCCCTTCACAAGTCCACTGCTGAACATAGGCCTCCCCCAAGTAATGCCATAAAGCACGGTCCTGAGCCACCTGCATCCATCGACTTCCTGCATGTCTTACCAGGTCGTCACTCCATCTAGTGGGGGGTCGCCCTACACTACGCCTACCGGTACGAGGCTGCCACTCGAGAACCTTTCTTCCCCATCGGTTATCGGTTCTTCGAGCTATATGGCCGGCCCATTGCCACTTCAGCTTACTAATCCGTTGGGCTATGTCGGTCACTTTGGTTTTACTGCGGATATCTTCATTTCTGAGTCTATCACGCAGAGAAACTCCGAGCATAGCCCTCTCCATAGCTCGCTGAGCGACCTTGAGCGTCCTTATACGGCCAGCAGTGAAGGACCACGTCTCTGATCCGTAAGTCATCACTGGCAACACGCACTGGTTGTACACTTTAGTTTTCAGAGATTGAGATATACCTGACGAGAAGATGTGTCGTAATTTCCCGAACGCTGCCTAGCCGAGTTGAATCCGTCGATTGACCTTTCGGTCGGAGTTGGACTTACCTAGTCGGACTATTTGTCCCAGGTAAACGTACTCGTCAACAACTTCGAGCATAGTGCTCCCAGCACCTACCGGCATAGGTGTGACATGGACATTGAACATGATCTTTGTTTTGTCCATGTTCATCTTAAGACCTATCCGTTGGGAGACACCATTGAGGTCATTGGGCATAGTGCTAAGGTCCTCCAGCGATTCTGCCATAAGGACAAAAAAAAAAAAAAAAAATATATATATATATATGTCGTCGGCAAATCGAAGAAGGTGAGTGATGTACTCGCCATTGATGTTAATACCGTATCCTTTCCAGTCCAGTAGCTTGTTTTTTTGATGTGATGATTAATTTAATGATATAAAAGTGTTGAAAGCTATTATTTGGTTTTGTTTACAAATTTCACTAGTTTCTTACTAGTACCAGAGTGTAAAGTTTTAATTTACGAGTAAATCAATGGTAAGGTTATTAGTTAAGAATTAATAGTCTAAACATGTTTTGAATCGTCGCGGCTAAATGTCAGGTGTATGAAGCTAAAAAAAGTGTAGGAAAAACACAAAAAACTGACCTTTTCTATAAATAGTGAAAAATGCGTGATATCACAGTACATTGCGAAGAATATAAAAGGATTTATCCGAAAAACGACAATTGTTACGATTCGTCAGTAGAACGTGAAGGAACTCAATATGGTGAGCTTAGAATACTGATATTAATATAGACATATAAATAGTGAAAGTTTCTAATTTTTTTTGTTTCTTAAATAATAATTAAATCGATACAATTGCTTTCGTGTTACTAGAAGACTACATAATTTTAAGTTACAGTTTTTATGATTCGTATTATTTTATTATCATGCGTTTAAGCATGTGCAGATGCCGGTTATGGAGATTATGTAATAAAAATATAAATTTGGAGTCTTATAATTGCAAAATCCTCAACTTTAGACTCAGCTTAAAATGTCATGCTTTGTTAATGTGACAGTTATTGATTGACTTATAATTTATGCATATTAGAATTAAAAAAAGACGAAATAGTTTCCTTTTATTAATAATCTTATTTAATAATGTAATCGCTCTTAGCCTTTATGTTAAATTACGAAGCAAATGAACTTGATGCAACGTGAGAAACACACATTACAGTTTTATCATAAGAAATTATTTAAGAAAATATTTTATGTTAGATAAAATGCCAATATGTAGGGTGGCGTTTTAGTGCCAGTACCCGGTTGACCGAGCTTTGCTCGGTATTTTTCGCTTGGTTTTTTTTTAATTCGTGTGTTTTGGAAATTATATTTAGATACAAATTACATACTGATGAATTATGAATAATATTTTTTGATCTTAGCGACATAATAGAAAAACTGAAATGGTTATTTGAATAAAAAACAACAAAAAAATTTTCGTGTTTTTAAAAAATACTAAAAAAAGGGCTCGAAAAAATTGGTCGGTCTGGGCTCGAACCATGGAATTACGATTTTATGACCGCCCAATATACCAATTAAGCTATTTGTAATCATTAATAAACTGTCGAAATTTACCTTCTTATTCTAACGATATTGTAGCAGTTTTTCATTGCCTAAAAACACGGACAAAAAGACATTTTCTAAAAATAAATCCTAGCTAGATCGATTAATTGCCCCCGAAACTCCTTGCACACAACATTTTATGAAAATCGTTGGAGCCGTTTCCGAGATTCCGATTATATATATATATATATATATATATATATATATATATATATATATATATATATATATATATATATATATATACATACATATAATACAGGAATTGCTCGTTTAAAGGTATAGGATAAAAATTGTCTCATACATTAATTAGTTAATTAGAGTTACAGTTATTCATTAATAAATAAAAGGTTGTCAAAAATCCACTGCTCAACATAATTGTAGACTTCACCCATAGATTAGCTCGTAGTGGAGGGAGGGGGGGGGGTATTTGCCAGGAGGGTTGCCAACCGCGTTTATTTATTATTTTAAGTTGTTATAAGGCAGATGCTGTTGCCGGTCTCCTGTTTTATTTATGTTTTACCCACATATAATTCTTTAACACTTAAGCAAAAGTTTTGGTTTAAAACTTCATTAAGTTCATTAAAGGATTAACTGTAAAAAATCGGGGTTATAATTTATGGAGTGTTTATTTTGTAATTCCATGAATCTTTTTAGTGTCGGTAAAATATTTGATGTAATAAAAAACTTGTTTTTTTTTCATTTACAGAAAAACCTTATTGTATTACTTTGCGCCATTAGCTGCGCATACGCCACAGTTTCGGACCAACAAGCCAGTATTGTACGTAGTGATTTTCATCACGATTCTGAAGGTGAAGGTTACCAGTTCAGTTTTGAGACAGACAATGGCATAGCAGCGCAAGCCGATGGAAAATTAACAGTTTTGGGCCCGGTAAAGTTTTTTTATCGTCTATAATAATTGTTGTTTACTGTTTAAAAAGTTACAGCCTATATAACATCCCACTGCTGGGAACAAGCCTCCTCTCATTTCTGAGAGGGTTTTTAGGGCAAGGAAGTGTCCGCCGTGCTGCCCCAATGTGTGTTGGCGAACTTCACAAAATTTCTTCGAAATATTTTTGAGCACATGGTAAATCAGCACTTAAAATTGCAATTAACAAATTCATTGGTGCCGGTGGGGATCGAACCCGGGTTACTCGCGTTCTGTTATATTTATAGCGAGCGTTAACCATCTGAGCTACCACGGCTCTTTTTACCTTTATTTTTACCTTTACTTTTTACCGTTTACTGAAACTAAATATTAATTATATTTATACCAGTCTTTTTTATTGTCATTTGGAGACAAGAGACATCAAATCGTTAATAGCGATTGCCCATGTTTACGGTTTTGAACGATGGGCGATTGAAGCTTCAATGAGGACTAATGGGTGCGTTTGGCAGAAAAAAGCGCTAGCAAGCGCTTACTAGCGCTAAAATAGTTTTCGGCCAGGACACGATTGCTACTTCAGTAGCGCTGACACAATCCGCCATTTTGCTTATTTAATTTGTTTGTTTTGAAGTAGAGTTTATAAGTTGTTTTTTTTTTGCAATATTAGTTTTAAGTAATATTCATGTCATTACATGAATAGACATATACATGTTATTAAAAATTCATGATTGGTAAGTTTTTAATATGAATACTTCACAAAAATATGTTTAAATTAGGTTAGGTTCCCCGGTTAAAACTAACATCGTGTCCTAGAGGAAAATAGCTACTTACGATTTGACAGCGCTTACAGCTTACGATCGCCATTTTGATTACAAGCGCTTGCTAGCGCTTTTTTCTGCCAAACGCACCCAATAATCTTCTGCTCACGATGTGTCGCCAGTTCACACTTAGGTGAAGATTTTTTGGTCCAAAACGTCATTTAATTAAAAGTTAGTTTCGATTAAAAGTTTATCAGTTTCTAGTGTATTATGTTTATATAAAAAACAATGCCTCAGTGGTTTGCTCTTTAATTTTATGCACATTAATTTTTCTACTTTTATAAATATCTGTGGTTTGTTTTGTTTATTTTTAATCTAATTAATGTAAATTTCGATTCTCGTGCCTCGGAAAGCACGTAAAACCGTTGGTCCTGCGCCTGATCTCTCTCCGGTCGTGTCGGATTATCGTCCCATCGGAATATGAGAGTGAGGGAACAGACAGAGCACATGTGCTTGCGCATAGACTTGGACACTATAATCCTGTCCTGCGCCGATAGCTCGAAGATGTTGAGACTGGCCGCCGTGAACGAAATTCGGTCTGGAGGATATTAATGTAAAATATAACTAATAGTAAAGAAGCATAATGTTTCTTTTGTTCTCTTTACATTTCTTAAAAAAATTAACATCCCCGCTATTAAACCTGTCAAATATTACACCTCGTTTTTAAGTGGTGCCGCCCTAGTGGCAGTAAAAGTCGTGAATGCTCTCATTGAAGATGTAGTGCTCATTGAAACAATTGCCTGGGGCGTGCACAAAACACGCCCCAGGCAATAGCTTAACTGTTTTAGGAATTGCCATCAATCGATTTTTCGATAATTAAAAATTAAAGATAGAGTCTATAAATATCCTACTGCTGGGCACAGACCTTGTTTTTAGGTCAAATTTTTTTTAGGTCTCCGATTTAACGATTTAACGAAATGGCCACCGCGCTGCCCCGACGAACTTCACATGTCTTCGAAATGTTATTTTTTCTTATTTCTCAGAAATGCAGGTCTCCTAACGATGTTTTCGCTCACCACCGAGCACTTAGTAAATCAGCGTTTAGAATTGCAATTAACAGTTTCATTAGTGCCGGTGAGGATCGAACCCGGTTTCATCGCTTACTGTGAAATTTACAGCGACCACTTAGCCCCTGAGCTACCACGGCTTTCCTTAAATCTAACAAACTATTAAGAAATTTATTTGTGATCCTTATACCAATTTTGTTCCAGAATTCGACTGCTCATCAAGTACAAGGATCAGTCTCGTACACGTCACCCGAGGGTCAAAAAATTGTAACAACCTACGTAGCTGACGAAAGTGGATACCACCCTACGGTATATTTTGCAACGTAGTTAAAATGACATTCTAGATTCCAGTAATTCATTAGTTACTACACATAATAACAGTCTAGCAATATACACCGTTGAAAATAAACCTACTTGCAGATCACCTCATAGTAGGCATATTTGCAATGGATGCCACGCTTGGCAGGCGGGTTGACAAACGCATTTTTTTATTTTCTAATTGTCTGTATTAGTAATTGTCTTACAAAAGTTATTATGAGGTAAATTATAGTTAGGATAATAAATACATGGGCGCAAAGAAGAACAAATTGACGGTTATCAGCTGAGCAGTGTATATTTTAGTGCTATCATCTCAGACCAAAAATGAAAATCCGAAAGAACACTACGTGCATTTCCAAGCCGAAACCAAGCTCAATCCATGTAGCAACACGCACTTATGCACACAAATACGTCTGAAAGAATTTGCAATCATCATCATTGTTCTAGCGGCAGATGTCTGCGTCGACTTTTACGGGCTCATAAAGAAATGAAACAAAAATATGTGATTTGAGTGCGTGTCAAGAAGTTGAGCATGATTTTAGCATCACTTGAAACCTTTTTATTTTGCATACTGAGGCTATACATGTGAGATATAATCCTTATGCATATCGATTTTTTTTATATAGGGTGACAAACGGGCACACAGTCCACTTGATGGTAAGTGGTTGCTGTGACCTATAGACACCCATGAGGACTAAGATAGAATGCCTCGATTCAAGTAAAAAGGGTTTCCGGTACTCTACACTCACCATACGAAATACAGCAGCATTAAGCTACTACTTACCCTGGTATTCTGTGAGAACGTGGTCTTTCCCCGGTCGGCCGAGGAAGGACTACGACCGATTCGTGCTACAACTATACTACTAATATTATTGCAGCATGGCACTACTACGTAGAAATAGAATTCACAGCTGACTGGGCATAGTAGACTAATGCCCAAATACTCAAACGTTACTCAATTTTAAGATGTTTTTAAGTCTCGCGGTGTCACTATCACTTTGACTTAGAAGTGATAGAGAGCATAATAAAATTAGATTTGTATTTATGGACTCTTTTTTCTAAGCGAACTTCCTGTGCGTTTGTATAGTTTATATAAAGTAAAATAAGAGAGTTTCAAAATATTTTATTTTCAACAGGGTGATCATCTTCCGGCGCCGATGCCCATCCCGGAGTACATTGCTCGCGCTATAGAATACATTGCTGCCCATCCTTACAAAGAGGAAACAGAGGTAAATGAAGAAAAGAAAGTTGCCAATCCAAACGTAGCAAAGAAAATCAGCAGGAAGTGAATGGTTGATAATCCGTTCGCCGTTTATAATAAAGAAAAGCGAGGACTCAAGATTATGTCTAAGATTTAAATACATTACGGCAAATATATAGAAAACCGATAGAAAACATCAAAAGAGTAATGTAACGTAATATATTTGTAAATTAGTATTTGTATATAATTTGTTCACAATTAAAATAATTAATTGTACATTTTTAGTAATCATTGCTTTATTTTATTATAAATAACCTGTCTGACCGTGTAGTGGCGGTGCTGAAATTGTAGTCGTGTAAGAATATCCGCTACCCCGTGGATGTTGTAAAAGGCGACAGAGGGAATCAAATCAGTAGTTGGGCAGCAGGGTTTTCCTAATAACAACTAGTATTAAAAAACTTCAGCTGCTAATCCGCTTGCCAAGCGTGCCAGTTATTGCAAATACTAATAATCGACAGACTTTTGTTATTATTATGTACGATCGCGCTAACGGCCATTTCATTTATATCTTTAACTTACTTATCGTAACAATCTACCCATGTAGGTATAATTGTTTACGTTTTATTGAAAACTTTTATTAAAACTGTTACAAGCTAAATAATGGGTGCGTTTGGCAGAAAAAAGCGCTAGCAAGCGCTTATAAGCGCTAAAATAGTTTTCGGCCAGGACACGATTGCTACTTCAGTAGCGCTGACACAATCCGCCATTTTGCTTATTTAATTTGTTTGTTTTGAAGTAGAGTTTATAAGTTATTTTGTGCAATATTAGTTTTAAGTAATATAATGACATGAATAAACATATACATGTTATTAAAATTCATGATTGGTAAGTTTTTAATACGTATACTTTACAAACATATATTTAAATTAGGTTAGGTTCCCCGGTTAAAACTAACATCGTGTCCTGGAGGAAAATAGCTACTTACGATTTGACAGCGCTTACCGCTTACGATCGCCATTTTGCTTACAAGCGCTTGCTAGCGCTTTTTTCTGCCAAACGCACCCAATGTCCCGCTGCTGATACAATACACCTTTTCTAACAAAGGTTAAAATATTATATTTATATATTTGTTGTTGAAGCTTGTTCCGTAACCTTGAGCTCTCATACCTCGGATTTTGATACCTCTTAACCCCTCAATCCCAATAAAAATCCCGAGCGGTCGCATGCGACCGCAGCCACCCGTAGCACTCAAAACCGTTAAAACTTATATTTGGAGACTTTACTTTTTACTTTTCTATGAAGAAATTTGGCATTTGACAAAGATACATTATATTCACACAAAAACTTTCATCACAATTATATAATAAAACGCTATACTAAAACACTAACAAAGCACTAGAAAAATCCAGAAATCAACACAATAACATTCACGCGAAAATGGCGTACGAAATGAACGTAGATTATAAATAAATATCCATAGGATAACTTGAACTTTTATCGCACTAGAGGATAGAAAATTTCATATTGATTCTATAATGATAAGCTTCTTCATAGAAAAGTAGTCTCTAAATATAAGTTTTAATGATTTAAAGTGCCGTGGGTGTGCACGGTCGAATCTGACCGCTTGGATTTTTACGGAATAGCGCCGCGGTCGGATTCGTCCGTTAGGAAACTGAGGGGTTAAGACCAGAAGTGAAGGACTATGTATCAAATCCATATGTCATCACTGATGGGTTACCAGTGATGACATATGGATCTGAGTCGGGCACTAGTTGCACATTCTGGTATTCAGGTACTGAAAAACAGACGACGAGATGTATCGTTATTACCTGAACGCTTCCCAGCCGAGTTGAATCCGTTCCTCCTCACCGTCGATCCTCTATTTTGAATTTGGATTTACCTAGCTAAACATACTCGTCTATGCAATAATGTAAAGTAAAAATAAGGGATTTAATCATTGCCTTATGATATTTTGAGAATATCTCTCGATAAAAACTATTTGTTTTTTTTTAACTATATACTATATCTATTAGGTATTTCGCGACAAAAGATCTAGGAAAAATTTTATTATCTTCTTTTCACCCTATCTATCTACTAAATAATATAAGAAAACAATTCCAAGAGACTTAACAAAGGGTACTGAAGCTAAATTACTGGTTTTTAGAATTTTTATCAGTCTGTCTGGTCGTCTGTCTGTCTGTCTGTGTATTCAAAATTAACCCAAAAACTACTGGGTGGATTTCCATAAAATTTTGGGTGAACGTAGTTATGAAACTGTGGCAACTTTTTATCCGATCACGAAAGATTAAAAAGAGGGTTAAGGATTTTAGTTCTTTTAAATATTAATTACTGTTATATTTGACGCTAAATATAAATAACGCCTAAAATAGTTAAAACTGTGGTGGAATAATTTGTAAATACGTCTCACTTTTTCAAAACAGCGCCTTCTAATATAAAATACAAAAAATAGTACATTTTGCCTCCAGTCACTAGTAAATTAAATATTTAAGAAAACTTACGTTTATATCCTTAAATTATTATGTTTGTAAAATTATTTGAAAATTCTAATGTAATTTTTTTAGTTTTTTTCGTTATTTCATTTTTATGGTGTGAAATTACTTAAATAGATAATAGTAAAATCTATCAACATTCCTAAGTTATTCAGTCAGTGCTGCAATCCCTTCAGCGGTGCTGAGCTGACTGTCGGTATATTGAAGTGCTGAAGTACAGTTGGGCTACAGCACCGCCCAAATTTCCACAGAATCAAAGGCTTTTTCATAGTTTACATACGCAAGACAAAGTGGCCGATTGTATTTTTCGGTCTGTACAATTTGCTTATGTGCTCCATAGTACTAAAGCATTTTCGAAAACCGGCTTGTTCAGTAGGCTGGAAGTCGTCGAGTTTGCATGCGAGACGATTCGTAATGACTCTCGAAATTAATAATAAACTTCTACGTGAGATATTACATATCATCATCATTACAGCCCTTCACGAGTCCACTGCTGGCCTCCCCCAAGTAAAGCCACAAAGCACGGTCCTGAGCCACCTGTATCCATCGACTTCCTGTATATCTTACCAGGTCGTCACTCCATCTAGTGTAGGGTCGCCCTACACTACGCCTACCGGTACGAGGCTGCCACTCGAGAACCTTTCTTCCTCATCGGTTATCGGTTCTTCGAGCTATATGGCCGGCCCATTGCCACTTCAGTTTACTAATAAGTTGGGCTATGTCGGTCACTCTGGTTTTACTGCGGACATCTTCATTTCTGAGTCTATCACGCAGAGAAACTCCGAGCATAGCCCTCTCAATAGCTCGCTGAGCGACTTTGAGTGTCCTCATACGGCCAGCAGTGAAGGACCACGTCTCAGATCCGTAAGTCATCACTGGCAACACGCACTGATTGTACAATCTAGTTTTATATCATATATCAGTCATATATCAGAGATTGAGGTATACCTGACGAGAAGATGTGTCGTAATTTCTCGAAATTACGAAAATGTAGCAAATATACAATATGTATCTCACGCAGATTTGGCTCAGAAGAGAAGTCAGTCTGTAGTTCTTCAAGAGAGCTTTGTCACTTTTCTTGAAGAACGAGACCACTGCACTTCAGCTCCACCCCCTCGGAGTAGTGCCACAAGGGAGGACGGAATTAAACAGCTTCTGAAGGAGTTCAAGTACCAGTTTTTCACCCGCTTTCTAAAGCTCTGCTGTCATTACACCCTCGCCCGGGGACTTGCTATTTTCAAGATGCACCATATTACTTATTTAAGTAATTTTACACCACTAAAATGAAATAACGAAAAAACTAAAATCCTTGTTTTAAGATGAACATGGACAAAACAAAGATCATGTTGTGTAACGTCTATGTCACACCTATGTCGGTAGTTGTTGGGAGCACTAAGCTCGACCGGTGACTAGCATGTTTACCTAGGAAAAATAGTCCGACTAGGTAAGTCCAACTTCGGCCGAGAGGTCAATCGACAGATTCAACTCGGCTGAGCAGCGTTCGGGAAATCACGACACATCTTCTCGTTAGCTATACCTCAAAATCTGAAAACGAGACTGTACAACCAGTGCGTAGTGCCAGTGATGACTTTGGAATTAAGACGTGGTGCTGGCAATATAGTTCGAAGAACCAACAACCGATTGGGAAAACAGATTTTCGATTGGCAGGTTCGTACCGGTAGGCGAAGTGTAGGCGACCCCACACTAGATGGAGTGACAACCTGGTGAGACCACCACCATCCACCATCCACCGACTTCCCGCATGGAAGTCGGTGGATGCAGGTGACTCAGGACCGTGCTTTGTGGCATCCCTTGGGGGAGGCCTATGTTCAGCAGTGGACTTATAAAGGACTGTAATGATGACGATGATGAAAATCTCAGATAGTTTTTAGTATAATTACTAATCTATAAATATACTGATAAAAACTTTCATTATTCCTAAAGTTTAAATTTATATACGTATACGCTGTGAACAGATCGTAGAGTTAATAATATCATAAAGTACTCGATCATTATGTGAAACGGTGGCATTTCATAAAGTTTAACACTGTCTGTTGACCAAATCAATGAAAAGAGATCGTTTGACGATATTTACACAACATTGCTATTTCATTAATATTTTATTAATTATATAATTTGTTATCAGCTCTGCTACCGGTGAATGGTAAAATAACTTCATTATTCACCGTAAGCTGAGCTGATAGCGAATTTATTAACAAAAACAGAATTTTGACAGAATCCACATCCGCTTAATTTATATGTTATATGAATGTGCGCGGTTTGTTGTGCTATTAGGCCTAATATTAATAGAGGGTACAGTTTTGGTTTATATAATTTTAATCTACTAATAGCACCATCTACCTACTGCTAAATAAACAAATGATTATTAACTGATAAAGAAAATATTAAGAATGCTACTGAATACTTATTCATGCTGTCAAAATTGTCATCCTACATTTTTTATTCATCCAGCTTTGGAGCCAGCGCAGCAAACTCTTTTTGTCATAAATCTTGCTGCGGCCTGTGCCCGCTACACACTAGCGCACGGCGCAGCCTCGGTGTTGCGGCTCGCGAGCGAGGCAGCCTCAGTAGTTTTGTCTGGAACTCCGAGGCATGCCTCGCAAGGCAGGCCGAGCCATCATAAGTCATCGAGCATCCGAAATGGATATTGGTGGAATTGCAGCTGCAGCTACTTTCTTAGTTGCGTGTGTGCATGCGTGCGTGCGTGCGGTGCGTGTGTGTGTGTGTGTGTGTGTGTGTGTGTGTGTGTGTGTTTGTGTATGTGAGTGTGCGTGTGTGTGCGTGCGCGTGTGTGTGCGCGTGTGTGTGTGCGTGAGTGTGCGTGCGAGATTCAGAAATTAATCGTGCGAAGCCGGGGCGGATCGCCAGTTATGAATTTTAAAGAGTAAAATTAAAATAACATTACTAATTTACTCTTCTCTAGGACACATCGTAAGATATACCTAATATAAAAAAGTGGCAGTGTTGCTAGAAAAATGATCATAATTCAGTTCTTAAAAACTCACATAGTTACGTGTACCTGTAGCATATTATACATATATATGCCATATTTGATGATTGAAATTCCAATACTCTCTGATAATTCAAAAGGACACAAATTCCGAGGTGAGGGTCATAGAGGTAGTCATACGGCCAGCAGTGAAGGATCACTTCGGATCGTTATCTTAGCAAAAGAAATATATAAATGTCAATATTTTGACCTCTGTTAGAAGATATATCCCGTACCAGCAGTTGGATATACATATTTGGCTTAGTATCTCAATAATTTTTATGACAATTTTAATAAAAACTTTAAGTGAAACGCAAAAAATTGTATATGGGTAAATTATTGCGATAAGCAAATAAAATGTAAAAATAAAATAGTCGTTACGATCGTCCAGCATACTAACGAAACTTCATAAATTATCTTCTTTACACATTTAATGGCTCCACAGCTGAAAATAGGCCTCCTCAAAGGTGCGCCACATGAAACAATACTAAGCGGTCTTCATTAATAGACTTCCTATATATGTTACCAGGTCGTTACTGCTTAAGTGTGAAGCCGTTCCACAATTTTCTTACAGATTCGATTAGAGATTCGAGGTTGGAACTCGAACTGTCTTACTACAAAAAAGTTAGATATCTGTTCAACACGTGTTTATCAAATGCGTTACTACAAAAGAGTGTTTAACGGTGGTTTATGGATAGGCACGGCTTAGACGTTGTTTAAATTTAAACAGCCAAAAACCCTTGTTTAACTAGTGTCTAACCTATCTTTTCCGTCAGTTCAGTATTTTTATTTAACATGGATATAATTGATTTTGTTGATTACTTCGATGAAGACGACATGGATAACTATGAGGAAATGTTCCAAGAAAGTAATACGGTTCGTGTGAGGGTTAATCCGTTTGAAAAATATGACGATACCAAGTTTAAGAAAAGATATAGGTTCAGCAAACTTTTTGCTAGAAAAATATTAGATCTTGTGAAAGACGATATACCGAGTTATTCTCGTGGTAACAATAGATCCAGCAGTGCAAGTGGCTTGTGCATTACGGTACTGGGCTCATCATCAAGTAAGTTCGATTCATACAAAATTAAACTATGCTTACGTGTGGCGACGGTAGAGAAGAATAGCTTCACCCACAACTTTTCAACTGTATGTTTACCTATTATTTGCAATTTTATTTCAGATTCAAGATGACAGCGGAGATATGCATGGGATTTTACAGCAATCAGTCAGCAAAATCGTTCATAATGTTGGGAAAGCACTAGCTAAAAAAGCCTATGTGAACAGAAAGGGTTACTATTCTATCAAAGTGCAAGTTGTCTGTGATTCAAACTTGAAAATCAGAGACATAGTTGCACGTTGGAGAGGAAGGGCTCATGACTCTCGAGTTTTCAACGAAAGCACAATAAAAGAACGCTTTGAACGTGGCAATTTTCACGGAAGATTACTTGGAGACAGTGGATATGCATGTACTGCATATCTCTTTACATCTTTGCCTAATCCTAGTAATGACAAAGAGGAAGCTTACAACAGAGCTCATGTTAGAACAAGGAATACAGTCGAGAGATGTTTTGGCTTGTGGAAACAAAGATTCAGATGCCCATTAAGGGGCATATTTATGAAACTAAGCACAGCGAAAACCACAATTGTAGCATTAGCAGTGCTACATAACATAGCGATTGTATGAATGAAGACATTGATATAGCTCGGAATGTTCGTCAGCGGCGCGGGACACATACTGAGATCTACAGTTAGAGGAGCAATTATTAGACAGCGTTTTATCAACCAAAATTTTTAATATAAGAAACAAAATTTTAAAAAATGTAAAATTAGTCCTTATATTCTAGTTTTTATTTACAATTCTAACTCCAATTTCTTTTTGTCTTTTTCTTGTAATAATATGTCAATTTCCAGTTTATGTCGCAACTGATGATGAGTTATTTCCTGTTCTTGAAATTTTATTTTTACTTTATGTTCTTCTTCCAACATTGCTGAAGACCGTTCCTTAAATTCTATATTGCTTCTTAATAAAGCTTCCTTGCCAGCTCTGTAACAGACATGATTTACTTATTTAATTAAAAACCGTTAGGTTCAACCAGATGTTTCGCACCTATTTACTACGTAGATAGTACCATTTTAATGTTCTTTGTGAAATGTATGGTATTTATGAGAAAATAAATGATTTATACATTTATTTACTTTTAGCATATATTATTATATACATACAATCATGCCTTTTTACTCATAATTCGCCTAATAATGGTTGTTTATAGATAAAACAGGGCAGTGTCAATCATTTATTAAATGATACTTACTAAACATAAAAATATAGTAAATTAGATCATAAAAATTATATACAATTAATCTACTTACAACTTGTTTTTTTTTTCTCTATTTTGTTCCTTATCCACCTTTGGAGGAAACACCATTTGAGTTTTTCTGCTGCATTCAGGGATCTTGATATCAATCTGATTGAATAATGATTTTCATAAAGTTTTATTTATAATTATAAATAATAATAAAAAAATTATAACTATATTTGTTCTATGGGAGGGATAAGTCGCTCGCATCCGTAGGCTTTGACCACCTGTTCCTAGGCCCACCCTACACGTGTCCCCCGGGTGGTGCTAAATGAGTGACAAGCCGATACCACAGACTCGGCTCCACGCCGTGGTAGCGGCGTTAAATATACCACCCCATTTCGCACCATGAGGAATCGAATTAAAGAAATGGCCCCGAGTTCCCGGCGCCCCTTTAATGGGGCAGGGGTGCAAAGAATCTCCGGGAGGAAAACCGGCGACGAGGTTCGCCACCCGTCACGTTCTGTCTCCCGGAGAGGCGAAAAGTGGATTGCAGAGGCCCGTCTGGCTACGTTGAATGTATGTGGGGCAATGAATGTTAAAATGGATGAAGTATGCGATATGATGTATAATAGAGGAATAGATGTGTTATGCGTAAATGAGACGAAAAGGAAGGGGAAGGATGTCACTACACATGGCATGTATACCGCATACTGGTCTGGTGTAGAAGAGATCGAGCGGGCATCCCAGGGAGTTTCAGAAAGAATGGGCCAATGTGTGAAAGAATATGAATGTGTAAGCCCAAGACTGCTATGGATGCGAATGAAAGTGGGCTTAAAGAAGTTATTTGTGTTAGGGGTCTACGCCCCAGACATGTCTAAGCCCAATTATATCCGAGAGCAGTTTTGGGAAATGGTAAGGATGTTGTTAATAAAGTGTAAGGGAAATGAAAATATTATTAAGCTAGGAGATTTTAATGGAAGGGTTGGGGTCAGGAGGCTTGGTTATGAAAGGAACTTGGGAATGTTTGGTGATGAAAGTATAAATGAGAATGTTGAAAGTCTCCTCACCGTATGTATGGAAAATAATCTTTTTGTGACGAACACTTGCTTTCGCCACAAGAGGATTCACATGTATACTTGGGAAAGAGGTGACGATAGAAGCATGATAGATTTCATAATTGTGGATGAAAGATTGAGGGGCGCAGTGGTAGATATGAGAGTTTACCGGGGTTCTAACGTAGGAACGGATCATTATTTAGTTTTATGCCGAATTAATGGTCTATTCAGGCGTTGGCGCCATCGATCGTTTGTGTCTACCACTGCGTTACAGCGTATTAGAACAGAAAGGTTACAAGATGAAAGTAATAAAAATAAGTTCAAACGTAGACTGAATGAAAATATAACTGGTTTGGATGAATTATGTATGAAGGAGTTAGACTTGGAGAATATATGGCAAAATGTAAAGAAAGGTTTAGTGGATGCAGCTACCGAAGTATGTGGTGTTAGTAAGAGAAAGAATGAAAGGAAAAATAATACGTTATGGTGGGATGATGAGGTACGTATGGAAGTTGAAGCAAAAAAAGAGCATGGCTAGATGTACTAGCAACAAAGGCTGGTAATTCTAGCGGTACGAATGATGATATTGAAAGAAAAAGGGCAGTCTTTAGACATCTTAATAAGAGAGTAAAAGAAGTAGTTGAAAGAAAAAAGCAAGAAAGAACGGATAAGAATGACAGAAGAATATCGGATAATTTCCAGGCAAATATTAAAATGTTCTGGAAACTTGTAAGAACTGCCAGGGACATTCAAAACAGCCTATGATGAATGCTATGAGAGACGAGAATGGCTATATTCTGAATGATGAAGTTTTGAGTTTAAAGAGATGGAAGGAATATTTTGAAAACGTATTTATGAGTGAGGAGACAACGTGAGTACTAAATGAAGTAGAAACTCCGAAAGAAGGGGAAAGAGGTAGCGAGATAAGTATAGATGAAATAATGAAAGCAATGAAAAGCATGAAAGCAGGTAAGGCTGCCGGATATGATAGAGTTTCACTCGAAATGCTAAGGCCTGGAGAGGAAGTGGTGGCAGGCCTGCTGCACACCTTGTTTAATTTATGCCGGGAACTGAAGCGGGTACCGGTAGACTGGTGCAGAGCCGTGATAGTCCCAGTATATAAAGGAAGAGGGTCGCAACGGGACTGTAAAAACCACCGTGGCATCAGCCTTCTTAGCATTGTGGGAAAACTGTATGCTAAGGTACTGATTGAAAGGGACATGAAAGAAACTGATGGAAAAATTTGGAATGTGCAAGCGGGATTTAGAAAGGGAATGGGATGTACAGATCAAGTCTTCCATGCGCATGATCGCGGAGATGTTTCTGGCCAAAAACCAAAGGGTTTTTTGTGCGTTCACGGACTTGGAAAAGGCCTATGACAGAGTGGATAGGGATTTGCTATGGTAAACACTGAACTCATTTGGGTTGAGCGCTGGCTTGATACAGTCATTGGAGTTTCTTTATAGGGACTCTAGTGCTTGTGTTAGGATCAACGGGGTCTACTCGGACTGGTACGACATCCATAAAGGTGTCAAACAGGGCTGTGTGGCTTCCCCGTGGCTGTCAACCTATTTATGGACAGTTGTTTGCAAAATTTGAAAGTTGAAGAATGCAGATTAAGAATGGGCGAGTTAACTGTCAAATGCCTTTTGTACGCCGATGATCAAGTTATTCTTGCGTCGTCGGCGGCCGAGTTGCAAATGATGGTTACATTAATGAACGGATCATTAAAAGAAAGGGGTATGAAAGTGAACGTAAGTAAGACGAACGTTATGGTTTTTGAAAGAGAAGAAAGTAAAACGATTTGTGAAATAAGAATAGAAGGGGAGTTGATCGAGAAAGTAGATGAGTTTGTATATTTGGGCTGCGTATTTAGCAGGGATGGGAGATATGATCTCAAGGTTCTATATATATAGAACGACGAGTGAATGTGGGAAATAGAGTAATTGGGGCCTTGCACTCTATTGTGAAAAGTCAAAATGTGTCGAAAAAGGCACGTATGGCAATTCACAATGCTGTATTGGTCCCTACTTTAACGTATGGTAGTGAAAGTTGGGTGTGGCAGAAGAAGCACGAGAGTAGAATAAACGCAGTAGAAATGCGGTCGTTAAGGAGTATGTTAGGGCTGAATCTGAATGACAGGGTAAGAAATTGTGTAATAAGAGAAGAGTGTGGTTTGCAAGATGATGTTGTGACCAGGATTAAGAAAGGAATGCTTCGGTGGTTTGGTCATGTGGAAAGAATGAATGAGGAAAGAGTGACAAAGAACATTTATGGTGCAGAAGTGAATGGCAGAGCGCGGAAAGGGACGTCCTAGGCGAAAATTTATCGACCAAATTGGCGATTTATTGAAAACAGGCCAAATTAGGAGTACCCTTAACCGACGAGCATGTATGCGTAGGTGTATGGATGTGAAGGAGGCAAGAGAGGTGTGAAGAAGGCAAGAGAGGATCGTGCCAAATGGAAGTCTGTAGTCTCTGCCTACCCCTCTGGGTGACAGGCGTGAGTGTTTATGTGTATGTATTTGTTCTATGTGGTAGAGCTATGCTGCAGTTATATTAATAGTATAGTCGTAGCACGAATGGGTCGGCTCGACCGGGGAAGACCCACGCTCTCACATAATACCAGCGTGAAATAGTAGCTTAATGCTACTGTGTTTCGTATGGTGAGTGTAGAGAACTGGAGACTTTTTACTGGAAATGAGGCATTCCATCTTAGTCCTCACGGGTGACAACGCATCTTCATTTTGATTTGTAATCGAGGATAGATAAGTATATGGGCCGCAGCAACCACTTACCATTCAGGTGGACTGTGTGCTCGTTTGTAACCTTATCCTATAAAAAAAATAACAGTATGAAGCACCACATTTTTTTCAGGTAAACTCACCTCTTCGCTATGCACATTTGCCACTGTAATTATTTGCTGTACAGCTGGTTCCTCTGCTAGTAGAATTTCATCCTTTGGAAAGAAAAGATTTATTTATTTATTTAAAAAATGACTAATAACTTTTTTAATCTAAAACTAATAGTATTCATACATGCCTCATCTATATCATATAATGTATTATTTTGCTCTTCAGTTCCTCCAATAACTATAACTTCACCCTGTAAATTAGTAAAAGTTAGTAAATCAAAGTTGCATCATTATATTTGGTACATACAATTCAAAAACTTACTTGTAGTTGTGGGACCACATCGCTGTCATAAAGATTTTCTTCTATAACAAAATCTGTTGGGCAGAGTTCCATTATCTTAAGGTGATCATCATTGTAAAGCTCTTATATGTTGTGACACAGATTTCTTTGCAGCCACTTTTGTTCGTCTCCAGAAACCCTTTAATTGGGTGATCTCTCTGGATTTCCCAGTGAGTTCCTTAAGACTGCAATAAAAAAGAATACCGATTTCATTATTAATTTAATCTTATTAAAAAATATTTTGGTGTAACAGAAAAATATCTGACCACATAATTACCTCTTTTGTACTCAAATCCACTCCAGATTCTTTCTTTTATTTGTATTAGCATCGGTAAATTTACTCACTATTATAGGCGCTGACTCCCTCATTATTTCCAAAAACAGATCCTGAAAGTAGTAAATATTTAGGTAATTTAAAACATAAAGAACAAAGCAAGTAGTGTTATTATTATATATTCTTAATAATTAGCTAATGCGGCTTAAAAAACTAGACCGATTTGCAAAAACGAATAGTACATAAGCGTAACTAACCTTTTCCTCTTGGGTCCAATTTTCGCCTTGTGCACGATTCTTTTGATTCTCAGGAGTAACATTTTCTTTCGACTCCATTATTTAATAGGAAAAAAGTGAACACAAATTAAATACAGCGAAACAATTCACAAACAACACGATGCAGGCAACGGTCGCGGACGCTTGAACTGACATTGAGCATTGACATCTATACAAAGACGTTGCGTTTGACATAATTTCACATTTATCTTCATCTAACTGCCAAGCATAACTGATATGTTTTTGTTAATAAATAAAATAACTCATGAAATATTTAACAAGGAATATAGATATACATATATATATATATATATATATATATATATATGTTTTTTTATTATTGAACTTTGAGACAAAACAAAATTTAATTTTTACGTAGTTAGTCGTATTAATTTGCGTAAAATAAAACGAATGATCGAATGCTGAACGAATGTATTGCAGTGTGACTTGGAAAATAAAGTTGAACGTTGTCTGTAGAGGCACGCGTTAAACACGGTTTAGTGGTAGCGAAATTTAAACCATTGTTTAACATGTGTTTATCATTTGAGTCCGTTTCTAACTAAACACATGTTGGACCAGTGTTTAAATGCTTTTTTGTAGTAAAACTGGAAAACTTTACGTCCCCATAGGTTGTCGCTTCTTTGACCCATTTTGATGGCGTATTAACATTTCAGCTCAACAAATAAATTAGTGTAATGGACTAATTTATAAATTGCAGTCCAAATAAAATTTTTATACGTGGTAGAGCCATGCTGCAGCTATATATATTATAGTTGTATCGCGATCGGAGAAGGACCACGCTCTCACAGAGTACCAGCGTAAAATAGCAGCTTAATGCTGCTGTGTTTCGTATGGTGGGTATAGAGAACCGGAGAGCCGTTTAACTGGAATCGAGGTATTCCGTCTTAGTCCTCAAGGGTGGCAACGCATCTGCATTTGATTCTTAATCGACAAAATAAATACATTGCATTGCGTAAATACGGCCTCAATCAGGCAAGTAGTTCAGAAGTCACAACAGACCATTGATTAAAATTTACTATATTATACTAAATTTAAATTTAATGATGAACGCATGATTTTAGAGGTTAGTTAGATCTATCGTATCCATTCCGTAACATAAAACCTTTGATTGACATACATATTATCAAATATATAACACCTTCAACTTTAACATTCAAATATAGCTAATGATGTTAAAGCAAGACATTAAACATTACCTATCTCTGTTTTTTGTCCTGGATCACAAATGTTTTAACTTTTTTAAAAGATTTGATTGGAATTTTTAAAAGATTATAGTGCTTTTTATAGGTTTTGCATTAGGTGTGTGGTGTTATTTGTTATTAGTTGTTTCATGGTCATTAATAAGACAAATTTGTTTTTTGGATTTTTGGTGATGTCATTGCATATTATAAAACAAAATATATTTCCTCATACATGGTAGAGTAACGTTGCAGCTTTAATATGGTTGTAGTACAAATGCGTCGGTTCGAATGGGGTAGTACCACACTCTTTTTTATAGGATAGGGTGACAAACGAGCACTTAGTCCACCTGATAGTAAGTGGTTGCTGTGGCCCATAGACATCTACATCTATTCTCGATTACGAATCAAAATGCAGATGCGTTGTCAGCCGTGAGGATTAAGATGGAATGCCTCGTTTCCAGTAAAAAGGGTCTCCGCTTCTCTACACTCACCATACGAAATACAGCAGCATTAAGCTACTATTTCACGCTGGTATTCTGTGAGAGCGTGGTCCTTCCCTGGTCGAGCCGTCCCATTCGTGCTACAACTATACTACCAATATAACTGCAGCATGGCTCTACCACGTAAACGTGCTACAACTATACATATAATATAACTGCAGCATGGCTCTACCACGTATAATACACTCTTACATAATACTAAAATTAGCAGCTTAATGCTGATTAATGTTTTTCGTGTGGTGAGTGTAGAGAAACGGAGATTCTTTCTACATGAAACGAGGCATCTTAGTCCTCAGGAGGGACAACGCATCTACAGTTTGATTGTAAATCGAAAACAGATGTCTACGGGCCATAGCATCCACTTACCATCAGGTGGACTGAGTGCTCGTTTGTCTCTCATCTTCTTCTATAAAAAAATACAATTCTCCTCCAATTTTATACAGGAAAATTTTTCAATTCTGAATTTAAAATATATAAGGATGAAGAAGCATCAGATAACAATAATAAATATAAAAAGCTTTGATATTGATCGTAAAATATAAAAATATTTTGCCTAATTTTGTACCTGATTGACGTGACATGACCATGTATGTTATTTATGAAATAGACAAGAGAAAGGATCTCTGCGTAGGTTTCCATTTCAAAATACATGTATTGCTAAAAGAGCTATCCATATATTTTTGGATGATAAATTAAAAATTAATGGATGGGTATATTTATTTATTATTTCAGAGACGTGGTGCATTAAGTTGTTTCATTATAACTTTTAGGATAATTTACGTGTCTTACCGGTATCGGCGTAGAAATAGTACAAATTTTAATTCATAGTTTTTTTTAACAAATTTATTATAAAGATTTCAATGAAATAATATTATGTTATATTAATAATAATAATAACAATATTTAGGTTATTAAGACCAACAACTATCGGAGATACATCCTAAAGGATGGCACCGTCTACATCTGTCGAGCTTTTTGCCATCCCGGTGAGTCACTTAGGCATGTCATCTCCATTTTTCCGGCGCTTTCTAACTCTGATTACTTGCACAGGCACAACCTAGTAGCCACAATTCTTCACTAGGAGCTTGCTCTGAAATACGGTTTCGTGAAAATGATTGTGTTAGGCTCTACTGTGACCAGGCCATCATCACAGAAAGGACAATTCTTGCGAATAAGCCTGATATTGTGCTGATGGGCCGGGCACAGTCAAGGATATTTTTGTAGTCGTTTCTGCAAACGGGCTAATCCCAGTCAGCCTCTCGGGTCATCTGAGGCGACTGGGACTTCGTGACGGACCGCTCCAAGCTCAAATGCAGAAGGCAGTGCTCCTCGTTAAGTAGTTACGTTGTACCAGTTCTGGCTCACTGAGTCAGAAATGGTACAACGTTCGTCGACTCAAGATCCTAAAAAAAATGGTTTTATGATGCCTGCGCGTCCGTTTTTGCTTAGGATGCACGGTTCCGGAGATATGCAGATCAATTAACTCATATCTAATTGATGTCCGATGAGGGCCTCCATCGTCATTAGCGTCCCATTGTTCTTATCTATTGTCATTGTCTATACTTCCTCGGCGTGTGCGTCGGCTTGTCAGTGCTATTGTATTATACTTCTTTGTTCCTATGTACAACGCTAATCTGAATCATCAATAAAACACATTACCTAATTTTGTTACAATTTTTATTTACAAAATATAAAATCTTATTACTTATTATCTATAAAATAGGAGCGAAACATCTCATCCACTAAAATATCGTTGTACAATGTGTTCCTTGTAAATATACTCGTAAAACTATGCATTGAACATCCCTGAAACTTATATAGCAAATACATTAAGCAATATTCGCCACAAACTGAAGTTCACTCATTCTGAATCCTATCAACATTCCAGTTCCATCTTTTAAAATTCCTTTTTAAAAACTCTAGATGATATCGTACAGGTGATCGTCCATATGAATCAAAATATTGACCGACGTCATTCGTATCGATATATAAAGCTACCCAATGTGACCCTGGTTTATCATCTGTATCCAAATTGCATATTATATACGTTGGTACGTGGGTATACATGGACAGTCTATTAGCAGCATATATATATATATATATATATATATATATATATATATATATATATATATATCGGATCGGGTACTTCGGGCTATAGCAAATCATTTTACTATAAATTAATTTTTGCTATTTTTGAATCCTTGAAGATCTACGATTATTGTATTACTATTCATGATATTTTTAACGATATTACTCGGTGGTGTGTATTCGAATATGCAATCATTTAAAATCAAGCAATAAGCTGTTGTCTGATTTGGTATTTCTTGGTCTGTTTCGATTTCAACTCTCACATCGATAGAACGTTTTAATCAAACCACCATATACTGACTCCATCACTGCATCTGCTCGGTGTTATATGGTACCAGTAAGTTATATCCAATCTAAAGCATTTCCGCAGTGAAACGGAGAGTAACTTTATGAGTCAACAAGCTTATCTCGTATTCTTTCGTGTTGCGACTTGCACTAAAGACTGTCATTTTTAAAAAGTATTTATTAAATTTTCACTTTCTGCTATTGTCTTTGTAATATTGTATATGAGGGCGTTTGTGTTGTAATAGCTGCTATCTTTATTAGTCTTTACATAATATTTAATCCTCGTGGAAGCCTGTTTCCAATGATCAGTAGTTGGAATTTTGGATAGCTTCTTCATATCCTACATTTAAATTTTTATGAGATGCGTCGCTTGGTCTCCGTCGTCAAAATAAGTAGAAATGTATGATACACCATCTCTAGCGGCTCGTGCTACGGTTGAGGATAACAGCTTTCTCTATTTTATTTTTTATTTAGCTTCAAAATAATGATAAATTGATTGTGATTTTCTTTTTCCACCATCGCATGCGTTATTATTAATGGCGATTTCATCACTCTCTTCTTGAGGTGAGAGTGCCTAGTAGTATTACTGTTTATAGGTATTTTCATCGAAGCTGAATGATTTCTGTAACGACACAGTTATCATGTTAATATCAATTTGTTTACACTTAACCACACACACGTAAGAAAACAACAGAAAGAAAAGTAAGTTTGCCAATAGAATAATCAATTACGTCCATGACCATTGACACGTTGAAGTAACACAAACGTAGTATTGGTAGATCCACTGCGGTCAGACGACCATACACTGACTCCAAGACTGCAGCTGCTCGGTGTTATATAGTACCAGTAAGTTATATCTAATCTAAAGCATTTCCGCAGTGAAACTGATACCAACTTCGTGAGTCAACAAGCTTATCTCGCATTCTTTCATGTTGCGACTTAAGCTACACCGATGACTCCTACAAATTATCATAAAATAATGCAATTTAATAATTACAAATCACTATAATTGATCATTCCTATGTTAACCATTGAATAGATTAGTAATGAAAAAACTAATAGCAGTAATATCATGAATACACAAGATATACAACAATATCTGAAAAAGATTCATCCCAGTCTAGAAAATTATGTTTATGCTGCTAATAGACTGCCCATGTATGTATACCCGCGTACTAACGAATATAATATGCCGTGTAGTGGCGGTTAAGAATATCCACTACCCCATATCTTCCCGTGGGTGTCGTAAAAGGCGACAGAGGGAAACAGGCAGGAGATGGGCAGCAGCATCTTCCTGATAACAGCAACTGTACAACAAAAAACTGCGGTTGCCAACTAAACTTTAACTATGACAATATACCCCCCCATGAAGAATTACATAAATAGACGATCCCCAGTCACGGCGGCCCCGCTATTCCTGGCTACGGTGGCGACCATGGTAACGGCGGGGCAGGGGGTGCTAAGAATCTCCGGTGGAGGTTTGGTTGCCACCTACGATGACTCGACCTGGCAACATTTAACGCACGTACCCTGAGGACTGACGAGAAGATCTTGGAGCTGGAAGAAGAGATAGACAAGTTGCGCTGGAATATTATAGGATTATCCGAGGTCCGAAGAGAGGGGGAGGACACGGTGATTCTCGAATCCGGCAACTTGTTCTATCACCGGGAGGGCGACCATCTGTCCCAAGGAGGTGTCGGATTTATCGTCCACAAGTCTCTCGTTAACAACGTTTTAAAGATTGGGAGTGTATCGACGAGAGTTGCGTACCTTATACTCAGAATCACCAAACGGTATTCGCTGAAGGTCATACAGGTTTACGCGCCAACGTCGAAACATCCCGATGAGGAGTTGGAGGAAATGTATGAGGATATTTCCAGAGCCATGCATTCCTCCAAAACCCACTACACGGTGTTGATGGGAGACTTCAACGCAAAACTGGGCACAAGAAAGAACGGTGAGCTGAAGGTAGGGAAATTTGGAATAGGGCAACGGAACCCAAGGGGACAGCAGCTGGCCGACTTCATGGAGAAAGAGGGACTTTTTATGATGAACTCTTTCTTCCGGAAGCGGCCCCACAGAAAGTGGACTTGGTCGAGCTCCGAAGGTTTGACAAAAAACGAGATTGACTTCATTATGACGACCAGACGCCAACTGTTCAGTGATGTCTCAGTAATCGCAAGGGTGAAAACCGGCAGCGATCACCGAATGGTTAGAGGCCATCTGAACCTAAACCTTAAGTTGGAGAGGTCTCGTATAATGAAGTCAACGCTCCGTCCCCCCTCGTGCTCTAATCCAGAATCCCGAAACCTTTCAGCTCGAGTTAAGTAACCGCTTTCAGTGCCTAGAAGATTGCAATGCAGTGGACGATATGAATGACAAGCTCGTGGAAACTGTCCATGCGGTCGGAGCTAAGTTCTGCAAGACCCGCTGCAGAAGAACACAAAAACTCTCCGATCACACTCTTAATCTCATGGCTGTTAGACGGGAGATGAGGCTGATATTGTCAACAGATTTGACAGCATACAGGCAACTGAACAGACAGATCTCCTAATGTATGCGGCGAGACTTACGCAACTTTAATACTGCTCGTATTAAAAAAGTGATCGAGCGGAACCAGGGCTCCAAAATCTTTGCCAGAGATCTGTCTGCTAGAAAGAGCCAACTGTCAAAGCTGAAGATTGAGTGTGGCAGCACCGTTTCCGAGACACCTGAGAATTTGAGTGAGATTGAGTGGTTCTATGGGCAGCTGTACACATCATCGTTGGAGCCACACGCAAGTGTGAGTAACGATCCAAGAGCAAGTCTTATCCGACACTATTCCGATGAGATCCCGGACGTCAGTCTGAGCGAAATTAGAATGGCTCTCCAGCACCTTAAAAACGGCAGGGCCCATAGGCGAGGATGGAATTACAGCGGAGCTTCTGAAAGCGGGTGGAACACCGGTACTTGAAGTCCTTCAGAAGCTCTTCAATTCCGTCCTCCATGGTGGCACTACTGCGGAGGCGTGGAGCAGAAGCGCGGTGGTCTTGTTCTTTAAGAAAGGCGACAACGCTCTCTTGAAGAACTACAGACCGATTTCCCTTCTGAGCCGCGCACCTTTCGAGATGTCATTACGAATCGTCTGGCACGCAGACTCGACGACTTCCAGCCTCCCGAACAAGCCGATTTCCGAAAAGGCTTTAGTACCATAGACCACATACATACCCTGCGGCAGATTGTACAGAAGTTCGAAGAGTACAATCTGCCACTTTGCCTGGCGTATGTCGACTATGAGAAAGCCTTTTATTCCGTCGAAATTTGGGCGGTGATACAGTCCCTTCAGCGGTCATCATATCCTCAAAGTATAATTGTTTCAGACGTACAGATTTCCTCACCACGTTTTTCTATCAATTCAAGGACACAGGTAGGGACCAGACTAGTGTTGTTTTTTGATATTTAAGACGAGCGCCTTAAAGTAAACCGAACTACCACAGCATTATTTGTTAATAACAACATTATTCACTTACCTAATTCTCAAAGTTAATTAAAGGGAAGTAAAATATTGATTGTTCTAGTAATAATGCATTTATTATACAAATTTTCAGTTGCTATATACGGAAGTCATTTGACTTGCTTTTTTATGCTTATTCTGCACCCATTCAAATATATAATATATGACCGCCACGACAAGTTAACACAAAAACAAGAAAATAATGAATTCGCATCTTGATTCTGGACGTAACCTACCTATATAAAGACATCGAATCGCCGTTTGAAATCAGAATATCACTAAATCAGTCTCAGTAAACCTACATCGAAAATGGTAAACCTCTCCGTGTTTTTGTTTTATGCATTTCACATTAAAATTTTATATAAATTAAAACTTGTAATAATATAAAATTATTTTCACACAAGTAAAAATAATATAAAATTTTTAATTGTAGCTCTGTACCTGATTTCTATTTTTTATTATTATTACTATTTTGTAATTTCAGAAATTCCTAGTCGTCTTTGCCGCGGCCTTCGCCCTGGTTAGCGCTGATGTTTCCCACATCGTAAGAATCGATGAATCTCAAGCGCCCATTCTCAAGTCTGATTTTGATATCAGCCCCCAAGGATCTTACCAATGGGAATATGAAACCGGCAATGGCATCTCCGCCCAGGCTGTAGGTACCGTAAGGAACCCCGAATCTGTAAGTATTTTTAGAATTATCTTATGTTTTGGTTTCATTTTGAAACGGTTTTATTTATTAGTAATTATATAAAAAATCTAGTAGTAGTAGTATTTACATAAAAAGACAAAATAAATATTTTTATTAACAATAGTTTTTCAAAGCAAAAAAATTTTGTGCATTTCACAAACTATTCAAAGCAGTACCTTTAAATTGTGTATATATATATGGTTATTTTGTTGACAGGAAATTGCTTCTATTGAGGTTAAGGGATCCGCCCGTTACACCTCCCCTGAAGGAGAGCCCATTGAACTGACCTACGTTGCCGACGAGAACGGTTACCATCCCCAGGTAATATTTATAAAAAATTAAGTTTGCATTTTATGATTCTGATAGTATTTCATTATGACAAAATACCCAATCACCATATTAACATTCATACTGTCTTTGAAACGTAACCTGTTAGGCCTTGATCTTTTAAATCTAGGCTGTAATCATCAATAACTTACTACATACATTAATATGTTATTACGATATCATTCTACGTCACTAAATTCGTCAGATTTATATTTGAATATTAATTTATAATTCAAGGGTTCATAAAATAATATATTTTTATTCCATTCGATTCTCTACATAATATAATAGTTATTCTAATATTTTTTACATTTTATAATAGAGCAACTCCATCCCCGTGCCCCCACCGATTCCTGCGCTCATCCTGCGCAGCTTGGAGTACATCGCAGCCCACCCCCCACCACCAGCACCAGAGTACGTCAGGAAGCCCCTCAACTAAGTTACAACTATTTGACACCGAATTAGTACAAACTTGCACTGCATGTAGGAATATTGTTAATATCATGATTTACATTTATGTTTGTGTTTTTGCCTATGATATTGTAAAAACTGAAAAAAATTGACATGAAGTAAATCTTCAAAAACCACATTGTTTTTCATTCATTCTGCTTTTTTATAACTATTTTTAAACCAAAATTGGACTAACGTTGGACCAAGATGCCATCAGAAATTTAATGAAGTGATTTATCTAGATATAAAACACTTATATAGGGTAAACAGCTCTATACCTATTTATGAATTGCAAGTTATTTAAAAGAATATTAATTATTAAATAATTTCAGTGTTATCTTTTTGCAGATTTATTTTAACTTAATTTAAATTTACTAGCTAGTCTAATGGCTAATATAATAGCGTTAACCAATCATAAGTAATTTTTAAATGCTTTTGTAGGGAATGGTTGGTTAAAACCAGTGGTGAAATGGTGGGTTTGAACCACCGAATTTTAATTTTGCAGCCTTTCGTTTACCTTCTTCTGTTGCTTTTATTTATTACTCGTTTTTTAAGCTTTTAACAATTTATAAAAATATTAAAAAGTGCCAAATTATCATTAAGAAAAAATAGCTCCATGATGCCATCAGTAAAATCTAAATCGAAAATTAATTAAAGCTACTTTGGAAATAACTATCGTGTTGCTAGTGAATAACTTGTTAAAGAAGACTTGGTCCTTCACCGCTAGCCTATAAGAAAACTCAAAGCGTGCTATGGAGAGAACAAAGCACTACAGCCAGAGTTACCCACATAAACCAAAGCAAGCAAAAATATAATAGTAGTAGTAAGGTAATGGATCAGCTATGTAGATTGAAGAAACTACAAAAGATGGGGCAGAAATAACCTCGAGTAGCAACCCTACTCCGACAAGCGCGGTAATCAATGTGGAACGTGAATGTAATGAATTTGACCGCATCTTTGTAGAACTCAAAAACTAAGTGTTCCGGGAATAAATTGCTTTTAATAAGTTTTCCTTTTGCATTATGTGCCAAACCTACGCTAGCATATGTAACACACACTTAATTATAAGGCATCTTATAAATAGAAGAAAAAAGCCAGGGTTTTAACAGGAACTTGACCACCAGCGGATTGTTTACAAAAACAATGGTTTAAGGCGCTACTCCTAGCAAATGACCTTGTGCCTTCGGTCCTATACATTCTACGCGCTCTGGTAACAATATATCGCGTAAGAAATACGCCTAAATTTTAAAATATTTTGTTTATAAAATCGAATTTTAGTCCTTTGACCAAATTAAATAGATCAAAATGTTCTTTAATAAATTGACTATCCATTAGTGTAAGTCGTAAAATAACATAATGCTTACTCCATGAGGAGATGCATGTTACTAATAACTATTTCGAATTTCTGTGGTTTAGTTGTAGGAAGATTCATTGAGCATTTACTCCTTTTAAAAAAAATGGATTCCATAATCAAGATTATGTAGAAATTAATAGGTTTTTAATTAGTTGATATATCTTTTTAATAACAAGTAGATAGTTCTTAAAAACCTCATAAATAACGACTAGCACGGCATTTTGCTCCAACGCACTTTAAATAATGATTTATCGAATCAAAATCCACTTCAAAGTGGTGCGATTATGTATATTAAGCATCCGTAAAATTCTCGGTTAAGAATCAAAACGTAGAGGTGTTGCCACCCTTGAGGACTAAGATTAAAGAAGAATCTAAGAAGTTTAAACCGAAAGAAAAAAAAGAAGCCGACCCATTCGAGCTGCGACTATAATATAGCTGCAGCATGCCTTACACACTTAATTGTAAGGCATGCTGACAGTATGCCTTTAACACTTAAATTTAGTGGAAATAATGAAAAGAATGCTCCCATGGTGATTCGAACTTCATTATGGTGTAGTTTTTAAAAAAAAAATATTATAAAGGTGATTTCTTATTACTAGACACTGTCTGATACCTGACAATGTACTATTGCGATAAAATCTTTTTTGACCTTATAACATGTGTTCACGAAAGTGTTTTTCCACTAATTGTGGTTACGATTACGAGCTGTTACGATTTGCAGGGAGTTAATAGATGCAAGTGTTTCAGATACGCACTTTCTAGTCGGGTACGCGCGTTGTAGTTTGGTGGAGCCCTTTCAGTCGATTAACAAGACACTCTGTAGTCACAAATACTTAAAAATAAAATTGATATTCAGACATATATCTCATTAGTTTTTGTAAAGAGAATAAAAAAAATTTGCCCTATTGGTTTTATGACTAAGTTATTCTCTATGACTGCGCAGTTCCAAGCTGTATTCAGAATTAAAATCACATTTTAATGTTAATTATAGACGCAACATCTACTTGTTTTGGTAAATGTTTGTAAAATATTAAAAATGTAATAGTACTCATGCACGTTTTAGGAACGTTTTTTATGTCTACTACACTCAAATATTGTGTGACTTAATGACTGAAGGTTACTGAGCCATGAATCCCGTTTGCAAATCCCAACATGAGTTACGTAAAAACCTTTATGTGTATGTTTACTTGGGTTACTATAAAGTACTATAACTCACACTTTAATAGTAGTTGTGCTTGCAGGGAATCTGATTTTTGATAACAATTTATTGGCAAACTTAAATCTTTATCCAAAAATGCATTATTTTAATGCAATAATTATAACTTTCAACAAAAAGTAAAAACTGACTTCGATTTGCTAAAAAATAAGTTTATTTCCTACCCTAGGATGGAATTCTTTCTCCAAATTTATACTTTTTTATAGCATACAGTCCACCTGATGGTAAGAGGATACTGTGGATACAGTAAAAAGTGTCTCCAGGTCTCTACAGTCGCTAACGGAAACACAAGAGAATATAGCTACTATTTTACGCTGGTATTCTGTGGTCCCTCCCCGGTCGAGCCGACCCATTCGTGCTACAACCATAATGTAGCTGAACCGTGGCTCTACCAAGTACATTCACCCTTGAAGTGTAACCTATTTAGTAAAAAAATCATCAAAATTGGTTCACAATCTGCGAAGACATCGCGTCGTACATACAAAAAAATCTCAATAAGAGAACCTCCTTTACTTGAAGTCGGTTAAAAAGAAAGCCGTAAGGGTAATTTAAAAGTTATAACTTATATTGTCGATAGTCCCTAAGAGAAAAATTTAGACAAATAAATATAATTTTAGTAATCAAGGAATAAGTGAATGAAAATAACACCTGGGAGTGAAGTGATTACTAACATAGTTTTATTTTACATATGTTATAATTTATATAAATAATCGCATTTTATTAATTTAAAAATTTACTATTATTTTTATTTATATTTACGCGAATACTGCAAATGGAACAGAACAAATTTTACGGATTTCATCTTATTAATTATAACTTTTTTTTTAAATTCCGGCGTTTCGGGCACTTTACAGCACTTATGGTCACGGGTAGGAGAGGACTGAGGTGTTAAACGTCCAGATGTCAGAATTAACAAAAGCTACCGTCGACTTTTAATAATTAATTTTTGGTCCGATCTACGCAGAACGAGCTTACAGTAACTTGAAATGTTGCAATAGTATGCTTGGGTTTGGATTTAATTTTATTAATTATGGGAACCCAAGCAAATGGTAGCACTAACTAGACTCTACAAGCGGTACGTAGATGACATTTTCACAATTTTACTATCAGATAAAGTTACTGCAAGACCACCTTAACTCCAAACTACCTAGCTTAAGAAAAACAAAAAGATCCATTGAAACTCGCGTTAAAGTACATATTGCTGATGTGAAGCACCGACGTTCCGGGAAGTCTGCATTATGTCAACAGGTTTCAGGATCGTCTCAATCATTATATCAAATTTGATAGACCACAAATACGTGCAAGAAACATCGATTCCTACCAATCAAAATTCGCAAAACTATTAAAATTAAAAAAAAGACGATGGCAAAGCCAAGCATACTACTGCAAGACTTAAAGATTCCTGCGTAGATCGATCAAAAAATAATAATTAGAAGGTGAAGGTAGCAATCGTTAACTATTAGATCGGGACGTCAAACACCTCAATCCCCCCCCTCTTCCATGACCATTTGTGCAGTAAAGTGCCCAACACATCAGGAATTTAAAAAAGGTAAAATTAAACGCGATAAAATTGGTAAAATTAGTTTTACTCCATGTAAAATTTTATATTAAAAAAATCACAAATAAGAAAATATGAATGCCATCAAAAACATAACTTGTAAAAAAACCAAGTCTCGCAATTCAGTTCCTCTATACCAAGTCAACACAAGTTATACCAAGTCGGTTAATTTATTCAGTCCCTACTTAAGGTTCCTTCTGTCTTAAGTAATTACATAATTAGCTAACATAACAACATCTTTTTGTAACCATATCAACATTAAAAATCTTTTATGTTTTAAATAAATAGATTGACTTAGGCCATCGCATGAAAACACAATGTATCTCACAAGTAATACTTATTATATTAAATTCGATTGCTTAGTGCGATTGCCAAGTCAATCTATTTGTTTAAAACATAAAAGAATTTTAATATTAATATAGTCACAACAAGATGTTGTGACTATATTATATATTGTATTATATTATATATTATATTATATATTATATTATATTATATATTACATAGTGTGTTAGAATATCAACTACCTTATTACGTGTTGTAGTTGTCGTAAGAGGCGACAGGGGGCAGCACCCCTCAGGCCGATCATTTAGTGAGTCAGGCCAGAGTCGTGCGAGCGCAATTCTACCCAGTACTGGCATTCAACCTACCAACACGAATCAAAATTGGTATCCACAGGACCTACTCGTACGTCCTATCGTGGCTGACATACGCGCCATCAGCTTGGTACTTCTTAGGACTTCAGCCACTCAGCGCAAGAAGATGCACAAGCTCAAGAAGATGAAGAAGCTCATGAGAACCGTATACTACGGGTGATCATGGGAGCCGGCTGCTACGTCAGAAATGACATGACCGGCAGGG